CGCCAGGTGAATTAGCAAGCACAGATATGCTCAGAAATAAAATAGGGTAAAGAAAGAAAAGAGATAAGATAGACGGAAAATGGGCCACAGCAAAGCGTGAAGCAACAGCTGAAAACAAAATGCGCAAAAGCAGCAGCAGCAACAACAACAAAATGTTGGCAACGCAATAAACAAAGACGCCAAAGGGTTAAACAGATAAAAGAAATGCAATAGGCGGACTAAGAATAGAAGAGATGCTGCTGGAACATGCCAGACAAAGACGAAAGATGGAGCAATTAACAAACAATGGCGACATTATTTGTCTTCATGTTTATGAAAATAAGTGCGTCATGCATTTGTTTTGGCACATAAACAAAAAAATGTTTAAATACAGAAATGAAAATGCGAACAGATTGACAATGATTATGCGGAAATAAATGTTATTCTTACCACTTGTGTTGAATGACAAACAATTCACGATTTATTGCGCTTTAAGTTTCGCGATTGAACAAACTGCCAACTTCAGATGTAATTAACTGAGTATACAAAACTTTTTTAAATTAATTATTAGTTACAAATTCCTCGCGAGCTCCTCACTCGAACACTTTTCGGTTTTAAATAAATTCAGCTGCGAATTGTTGTTGCGAAGAAATCTTACACACATATATATTAACTTTGATACGTTATGGTCACACTGCTAATCATACTGAGGCTGCCAGACTGTTAAAATGATTTGTACCATTAATGTGCAAAGTATTTGTTTCAATGAAGAACATTATTGCACCATAAATTAGTTATTCAAAGATTTTAACATTCGTTGGAATTAATTTACATATATAAGTTTTACATGCGTTTCATACAACAAAAAATTGTTTAATAATATATTAATAAAATAATAATTCATAATAGTAAATAAAAATAAAATCAACAAAGATCGTAGAAATTTGGGTAAATTCATATCAATGGAAATTAGGTACTCTTATGTGACAGCTTTATCTTTTGAAATGCGTAAAACTGTTTTACTCAAAGGGAGCTGTTATAACAATATCACTGACATTGGCAGCTCTAGTTTGCTTTAAAATCGAACTGCTCCCATCACTAGCAAAAGGTGTCAAAAACTGCTCGTCATCCGCAGAGCAGGCGATTTTTCTTTAAAGGATTACCAAATTTATATTTATTCCCACACATTATATATCCAGTGAGTGTGCGAAAAGCAGTAGAGACGAACCCAATTTAACGCCCAATACAATTGCAGCTTTCGAGAAGTGCCCGCATCATGTTTGGCAGGCAAAGCGGTTTGGGCAGCTCCAATAGCTCCAATCTTGTGGAATTCCGTGCTGGACGCATGAATATGGTTGGCAAAATGGTTCATCCAGATGCTCGCAAGGGCCTCGTCTACATGACCCAGAGCGATGACGGCTTGATGCACTTCTGCTGGAAGGATCGCACCAGTGGTAAGATCGAGGACGATCTCATCGTCTTCCCTGACGACTTCGAGTACAAGCGCGTGGATCAATGCAAATCGGGTCGCGTCTATGTCCTGAAATTCAAGTCCAGTTCCCGTCGCATGTTCTTCTGGATGCAGGAGCCCAAAACCGACAAAGACGACGAGCACTGCCGTCGCATCAACGAGCTGCTCAACAATCCGCCCTCCGCCCACCAACGGGGCGGCGGCGGCAGCGGCAGCGAGGGCACCGACTTGCAGTACATGCTGAACAATATGTCGCAGCAGCAGCTAATGCAGCTCTTCGGCGGCGTTGGCCAAATGGGCGGACTCAGCTCGCTGCTCGGTCAAATGAAGTGAGTGCAAATCGGATAACTGAAAATATATTTTTATTTTATTTGTAAAATGTATAATATGTATGTGAGCAACTAGGAAGCTTTAGGAAATATGGCAAGTGGAAACGGGAACATACAAAAGAACGATATTTGAGATAGTGGAAACGGCAAAAAGTTTAGAACGTCTGCAATATCGAAAATATCTAGTCTAATTTGTTATATATAGGAGTAAGGGCAGAGATATACATTGTATGTATATAGAGTACATATTAATTATTTCCAGATGTTAAACAATATAGGGAATTCATTCATTCATTGATTCGTAAATTGACATTTTAGGCGAAAAGGAAAATTCTTTGCATTGATAAATTTGGTTTATGTTTTGCATCTACTTCCTTTATTCGAACATATACACATATTTGAATATAGAAATATTAGAGCATCGCATAAAATATATATATCCGAGTATATATGTATAGAGAATTGTAAAACAGTTTAGCTTATAGTGGCTTGGTTTATAATCATGAAATATCCAAAAGTTCAATTTCTAAATCACATTGAGTATGAGGAGCTCCCTTTAAATCTGCCAGGCCAGATGAATTGCTTTAATAAGATTACAATATTGGCTTTTAGCATCTTGGCATAGCAATTTACGAACAGGTGGGCAAGTAATAATGGAGCAGACTTTCATCAAAACACATTTTGCTGAAATATTTTGTGTTTAATGGAACAAATACATCCACACTAACATAGTTATATATATGTATACTCAATGTCCTATAGAAATACCCATAATACTTAAATAATTACAGATCTCTGCAAAGATATACTAGAATTGTGAACCATACCCGTTGTATAGCTCACTCATTTCCAACTATCGCCCCTCTTTGCAATTTACATGTCAAGCTGTACAGGAAATTCCAATATTTTTAGTTATTTGCCTATTTGTAATGCTTAAAATATAATTTATATTGTATTGTATATTATAATACTATAAGTAATATATATGGTATATTGATATATAATATATATGGTATATTACCTCATTCCTTCTAATTGTAATATCATAAGTCCATAGTATTATAAAAATTGACTCTACTCAATCCCATCTATAATCATCTTGGTTCCTTTTTTTCTCTTTGCAGCTCACGCACGCCCTCGTCTCGCACGGCAGTCTCGTCGGGAGGTGGTGGAGGCGGCAGCGCCGGCCTGCAGACACCGGAGAACGTGAATGTGCCGCGCACAGTGTCCGCGCCAAGCAAGCCGAGCAAGTCCAGTGGAAATCGGAGCACCAGCGGCGGCGCCGGCAACGCTCAGAGCGATGCAGCTGGAGGAGCAGGCGGAGGCAGTGGAGGAGGGGTCGTAGGCGGCAGCTTGGCTGTCGATGCGGATGGATCCGGTAAGAAAAATGCGACAAATGCGACAGCAGCAGCAACAGCCAGCGGAGCTTATGCGAATCCATTCCAAGCCTATTTATCCAATCTCTCCCCTGAACATGGCGCAGGTCGTTCCCTAAATATCGACCTCTCGACCGCACTGTCCGGCGCCGAGGCGATCAATCAACTGATTTCGGATCCGGAGCGTGTGAAATCGTTGATTGTGCATTTGCCGGAATCTGAAGATGCCGATGAGGATCGCAAGCAACAGATCAAGGATCACATCAGCTCCCCACAATTCCAGCAGGCGCTCGCCCAGTTCTCCAACGCCCTCCAATCGGCTCAGCTGGGACCCGTAGTCAAGCAGTTCGAGCTGTCCCATGATGCAGTCGCTGCTGCCTACTCGGGCAATCTGGAGGAGTTCGTGCGTGCCTTGGAGAAGAGCTTGCCAGCGGGCGCAACTATGGCAGCCGACGATGCAACACCCACAGCCGCCTCCAAGGACACTTCCGCTGCCGAGAAGAAGGGCGAGGCAGAAGAGACCGCCGCCGCTGCAGCAGCTGCCGCCTCGGCCGACAAACCGGATGAGAAGCAGAAATAACGCGCACAACACATAGATACACCTATACATTTAGCCCACACACAGATATCTATATACCTTCTATATAGGGCAGGCAAACACACACATCAACTCAAAATAGAGACGCGATTAATCGTAATTCCCGAATTTGAAAAAAGCTACCCGAATCAATATATTAATTTTTTGCAGATTTAATCAAGTTTTCGGTTCTAAAATAAATTGGCCATGCAAATGTTGCTATAAACGCAGTAAATATTATCTGACTACAGTAAAAATTCGCTTAAACCAACGACGACTTTCATAAGTAAGCTGTAAGTACGAACAAATAAATCTTAGCGACATGCCCATTTGCTGGAATTTGTACGGTCTATAGTCCTACGAGCGAACAAAACCCTAAGAAAACTTAGTTAAATAGAGATGAATTATTGATAAATAACTTTGTCTATTTGTGAAAGAAATCTCTATTCGATAAAAGGTGTTTTCTTAGTACAATGAATATTTTTGATAAAACAGCTGAGGCATCAGGTTTGTCAGTACAGTGTACAATGTGGCTTGATTGAAGGAACGCAGCTGCAGTGAGCTGACAAACATTCAGAAATTGCATTAAATGCAATTGATGTTCAAGAACAAGCAGTGGGCTACAGTTATGTTAACCAGCATATAAATGTTACAATATTTTAAAGTTTCATGTTTCCCCTAAATTATTTATCATTAGCTAGCTGTGCGTTACGTCGAGTAGTTACTGTAGCGCCTTAAAGCGACAAGTGCTGCCAGTCTGTTGCTAGAAAGAACCGTTACTCCGAAGTTGCCCTTGACTTGTGTTTGTGTTATGATTTTTTGGCGCACATACGCATACAAATGGCACCCACTGTGCTAGAGTGGCGCTCTCTTATGCTCTCTCTTTCGTTGCACTCACGCGCCGCCGCTCTCTCGGCAAGCGCACACAGATACACACAAACACAACGAAAAGAGTGTGTGTGCATGGTTTGCGAATACTTGGCGCAGATATGTGTATTTATTCAACTTCAAACGGGCAAACCGCGCGTTCGCTAAATCGCTTGATTTTGATTTCGTATTTTGATCTCGGCAAAAAATATAAAAGCACAACAAACGCTCTCGGTTTAACAGTGTAATTGTATGTGTAAAAAAGTGCTGTATAGCGGTTAAATTATAAAAATAATTAAAACACGAAAATTCTGTTGCTGTTTTGCGTCTTAAGTTGTTGTTTTTGTTGCTGCTTTCATTTGCAGCAAACTGCTGCTGCTGTTGCCACACTCTCATATGTGTTGATATGTAAGTGTGTGTGTAGGTTTGTTTTATATTTTTTTCAATGCATGACTGCGCGCCGCATTGTTAAGAAAAGCTTTTTCCTCGACTCTATGGCATAAAAGTTAGCGCGTTGCCGCAATGACAAATACAACAACACAACTACAAAAAAAGAAAAGAAATAACAACAATTAGCAGCAGCGGCAGAGCGGTGAGCCAGTTGCACTGGTATTGGTGAGAAGCGAGCGAACGTTAACGTCAAAATCTTTGGCTCGCTCGCACATACACACTCGCACATAAAAGCTTGCAGAGAAGTATATGAACAAACGTCAGCGGCTGCAAAAAACTGTTGTTAAGACAAATAAACAAATAAGAACAAAAAAATAAATAAAAAAAATAATTTCGCAAGTTTATTGCTGATGTGAGAATGTGTGCCTAAACGACTGAGAGAGGGTCAGAGAAAGAGAGAGCAAAAGTTACTTTATCCCGGTAACGATCTGGCAACACCAACAACAAAAACAGCAGCAAAAGAAATTGCGTTGCGGCAATGGCAACAATTTTCCGCAATAAGCTCGAAAATATTCACGTCACAAATTTAACCACCCATTCAGCAATAACAATTAAAGTAACTGTAATAAATAATATAAAATAAATAGAAAAAAAAAAACAGAAAGAACCCAACAAAAATCAACGGAAATTTGTGAAGATCTCAAGCCAGGCAATCAACTAATTTTTAATGTGTAACAATTTTGAAACAAGAATATTAACAACATCAGAAGCAGCAGCGAATCGAAAAAAATCAGCAACGAAGATAAAACAACAAATTGAAGAACAGCGAACGACTTGTCGCTGATAGGCAAATCCATAAAGCGCCGCATCAGCTGCAATTTAGCGATAAGGTGAGCTTATAATGTGTGTGTGTGTGTGTGTGGGCGTGTATGGGTCGCAACGTCAAGAGACTGGCGTTTGCCTGCATGTTCCAGAACAGCTGCAGTAATTTCTGCACGCCCACGCGACTGCAGCTCGCGCGCCATTTTAGCTAAAAGTTGCTCAAGGAACTTTTATATATATAAATATATATACATATATGTATTGTCACCATTTGAGTGTGTGTGCTATGCTGTGATGGCGCCTGAGCATATGCTATGGACGTTGGGCTAGAGCGCAAGCTATGTGCGAGCGAGACCACCAGCTGTGCAGAGAGAGCCAGTTTGTGTTTATGTTTTGGTAGAAAGGTCACACGAACGATTTTCTTCGTTTTTACTGCTGCCGCACGGCCATGTACAAGTGCAGCAATGCACGTGTGTGTGTGAGTGTGTGTAAGTAGTGTTCATGTTTTGTATATTCCAATAAATTTGATTGAAGGACACACAAAACCAAAAGTACGGCAGTATAAGTATATCTATAGAATTTAACTGTAAATGTAGAGAGTTGCCACTGTGTTCTATGAGCACTTTCACTGCCAATTGCCAACAGCTGCCCCAACCACAAGTCTGGGTTATGCAAACAGGCGGCGTCCTACACTAATTTAATGAAATTGAGGGGGTGGTGCAATTGGGGTATTCAGACGCGAGACATTTTCCAATATGGCCGTCATGGCGAAAACCCACGCACAACAATTTCGGCAAATCAATTTGAAGACGAAATCTAAAGCTTTTTCTGACATTGAACTTGAATGACGACACTGTCTACATACATGAAAGTGTTTGTATGCATGTATATATATAAAACACTAACACTAAAAAGCACACACACGCACACAGAGGTCTCTTGGGCCGTTACAGAAGTGTGTGTTGTAACAGCTTTCTCCAAATTATGCAGGCTGCATCTCAACAGTTTGTTGTTTCTATCTGCAGCAATTCCAATCGATATGCATTGTTCACACACACACATATGCACAGACACGATTCACCCGCCATTTTAAAAGTTCAACTCGAAGCTTTAGCTTTTGCATACGTGAGCGAGTAGTGCATTTTTATTTTATTTTTTGAAGGGGGCGCTGGAAATTTTCAGTTGCCACTCACACTATTATCTATCTCCCTCTCCCTCTGAGTACTCTCTGAACTTGTGTTTGTGTGGCAAAAAGAAACTGCGAACGGCGAAATGAAAGTGAAATTTTATGTGTTTTTCTTCGTTTGTTGCGTCTTCTTCTTTGCCTTTGGTCTATTTATTGCAAGGCAAACACCTGTTTAACCCTAAAGTACTGCCACAACATGCAAATAAAAGGCAATCTCTATGTATGTATGCACTCCTCTTTAAGGGATTTCTCTTTATTGACTAAAAAAAGGGCTATAGTTATGCCACTGTGGCCAGTTTTCTGGTTAATTCTGGTTGACCTCCTTCACCCAGGTCCAATTATATGAGTTTGCAATTATGTGTGGCACTTTGTTCAATTATATTTAGCAGCTTCTTTCGCCTCCTCCTCTTCTTCATCAGCTTCCATTCTTGCGAAGCGCAATCAATGCAATTATAAGGCTGTGCCCTGTGTCTCTTTCTGTCTCCCTCGATCTCTCAGCCCACTCTCCTGTTTCCCTTCAACTCCTTCGGCAGCGACTGTCTCAACTTTTTTATTTTCGGCTGACTGCAACCAAAGCAGATGATTTTCCGGTTTAGAAGAGCGAAAGCTGCTAAAAGAGGCGTACAACCAAGAGAGAAAGAGAGACAGAGAGAAAGAAAAAGTTATACACACTATGCCGACTATTAAATACTCTTACATTTGATAAAAGCATATCTTATTTAAACTTAGATGAAAGTGTCGAGAAATTTCATTTCTAAAACCATTACCGTCATTTTTCTCTCTTTCGAATATATTTAAAGTCGTCATGTATATATCAAATGTCTATTATATGTGTGGTTAACACTTATAATTAATAATATAAAAAAATCAAATTGAAAATTTGTATGAACGTCATTAATAATATTTTAGTAGCCTTATTTAATTTATTCAAAACACGGTAGAGCTTTAAAAATTCGAAAATATCTTGTCACTCAAGATTTACTATAGATATTTATTATGTCATCAGATATCGATAGGCTTATGAAGATATCAAAAAACATTTAGATATACAGGCGGAGATAACAGCGTACTTCATATTAAGCTAATGAAATTCCTAAGAAATTTAGTTGACTCCGTAATATCTAATATGTATAATATGTACCACACGCAAATCAAGTAAATTATTTGATTATGAATGAATTGCTGGTTAAATTTAATACCTGTTATTAACAAGTGGGGATATTTAAATTCCTTACTGATAATAATAAAAGATTCCAATAAGTAGAGTAAGTAGAGACATCTGATTATATTTATATCGCTATGATCTAGATTAGTTTATATAAGATAAAATATTGAAATGCCTAGAACCACTTTAGAAAGCTTATGAGATAAAGGCAAAAGAAGGCTCTACTAAATATGCGTTTCTTAAATATTTATGCTCCAGACGTGCTTTAGTCAAGGCGTTACATTTTGCCATTCGAAGTGGCGTATACCCTTAGCAAGTGCATGAGATGCTGTTGCTCAAAACTGGTTTATGTTACCAACGGGCAACAGGCTCTGAAGTCGAATCTCCGACTGGTTGCCAGGCTCCAGCGCCCCAATGCCCATACCCATACTCATGTCTATACCCATACCCATGCCCTTTTTAGGGGCAGTCGTGCGAAGCAAAGACAATGGAGTGGAGTGTTTTACATATTAAAGCTTAAATATTTTTAATGTTGGCTCACAAATCAGAAATCAACGGGCTTGATGGTGATAAAGCGAGATAAAATGAATGCCACCAAAATTGTGGCACAAACGAAACAAAAGGCGAACGTGTAGAAGCTCTCTTCCGTGAAGATATCGGTGAAAGCGGGTATGTCCTGATAGATCTGCTCAATGACAGCCAGCGTGCCCTTGTGCTTCCGCGCCATGATGTGGCTGGAGATCTAGGGTCCCTGGGGTGTCTTTGGTCACAGAATTTATTTCTTTTTAATGGCCTTCTTTCCACCGGCGCCGCTGCCCAGCTTCTGTTTCTCTGCTTTGGTCAAAACCTTCTTGACAATCTCCTCCGGCGGCGCTAATGTGGAGACGTGCTTATTCAGAAGCTGTAGCAATTCCAGGGTATTTAGATTGTCGCTATTGAAACGAATCTCCTTCACTTTGGCTTGTTCTGTAAATAAATGAAAAAGAGCTCAAGTGAAAATTTATTGATTAATTAGTTAGAGATCTTACCTTGCGCCGAGTCAATGAGCGAAAATTTAATGAAAGCTGGTGAACGATCGCAGACTATATCCGGCTTAACAATACACTTCGGGTTCGACTGCGAAACTTTGGGCGTGGAAAGCAGGAAGAGAAATTCTCTGTGAAGTAAGGGAATATTAAATTACATTAAAATTATGTACATAAAAGCTGAAAAGGAAGGAAATAAGAGATCTAAGCACTATACTATTTCTTTTTATTCAGACACACCATTTACTAAATGAATTTATTTATTAGTATTTAGTATTAATATAGTCTTGTCTATCCCTTATTTTACTTATAAGCAAATTTCCCAATATAATCCCATTATTTTGAATTTATCATTATTTTTTCTATTTGGACATTTAATTGATTTTTCCAGTCACTTTCCACTACTTTCAGAAGTCAGCGCTAGTCTATTTATAGATTAGTTTCTCATATGAATTTGTTGTTTAATACAAATTAAACGGGATTAACTAGAATATATTTTCAGCAGCCTTTATATAATTTTAATATAAATATATTTATTTTAAACCGCAAGTCAATTTCTTCACTAATTTGGTATAATATTATTCCTTCAAGCTGTATCTGTCAGTGGGAATAGAGGGAAGAACGCCTCAAGCTGACGCCGACACCGACTAAGATGTCAACGGAGCGGGAGCTGGCTGGCGGACCAGCCCAGCTCCATACGCTACCGTTTCCCCCAGATCTGGGCACCTCATTGCAACTGAACACAGCGGTGGGCATTATTGGCAAGGTTTATGGTAAGTGGCAGAACGGTCAGGTGCGCCACATGTTGGTCACATTTATATTTTGTTTCGTTCAATTTCATGTGTCCTAATTTGGTGCACTTTGTCTACTTTATTAGTTAAATATTTTTCTTTATTACAATTGTCAAGAACGCACTTTTGTTTCGTGAAAATCTTTTACCATATGCGATGCAATGCGCATGTTTCATAATCGATAAATTGTGGGTGCTGGGAAAGCGCTTTTCCAACCCTATCAACCCTCCATCTTTTCCTCCCACCCACTCACTGTTTCTTTCCTTCTCGCTTACCGTGTGGCTTTTACATTTTCGGCAAAAGGATCGAACTGCACTGTAATGCGTTTGACGCCTTTTAGATTAACGCTTTTTAGCTGCTTGCCTATGGCTGACACTATGCCGCCCGAGCGGCGCAACGTGCCGCTAAATGGTATTGACATTTCAATGCAAATCAATCAGCAATGATGAAAACAAGCGCAATTGGTTTTATAACAACACACACGGCGCTGCCAATAGCCAGAGTTGCCAAATGTACAGACTTGGTCGAGTGTGACCACACAGTAAAGTTAGCCTTTTTCAACACTTAAACCAAACTTTGCCAGCACTGCTGCTGCCATTTTGAGTATAACAGTGCCAATTTGAGTAAAAATGCGACTTGTTTGAACATGTAATTTGTAATAATTTGCCACGCTAAAGCTATTGCATCTTAACAATAATGATAAATTTAAAAAAATAATATTGACAGTTTGTTTAAGCTGCAAAAAATGCGTCATGCTCACACGCTCGAGCGTCAGCAACATGCTGTCATCGCACTCACACACAACACCAACCCCCAGCCAAAGTGCTTTGCCCTCATTTAAGTGTGGTTAGCGTGCACAGTATGCGTCTCACTCACACACGTCGCGAGTTAAAAATTTTGTGTTTGCTGCGGGACGTCCAAGTGTGAAAAACTGATGAAAATTGCATATTTTGCATAATGCGCGACGTGAAAAGCTAACAAAAATTGTTAAAAATTCCAATACAATAGTCTGGCTAGCGTTTGTGCATAGTTTCTGGCAGCGCATACGTGTTCGGGTGCACAAAAACGACGTCTCGAAAAAATAAAACAAATCTATATATATACGTGTGCACACACATTTTCTGCTGCCCAATCTAAAACGCATACAAAAGCATTTTCTTGCTGTAGAAGCACCTCCGTCGTCGTCGTTTGTCCAGCGGAGCACCCAGCACACACATACACACATATAAAACACCCACACGCGCACTCATACAGCCAAATCGAGATAAAGAAGCATAAAGAATAATTGTTCTTAGTTGTAAAAACCAAAATATAAGAGCATTAGAAATACATATGTACATACATATGAATATGTATTTGTATGTATACATATACATACAGACATATACATAAAACGAAAGCTGTGCCTACATTTGTGTTCTTTTCCAATACTTACAATAAACAACAATAAGAATAATATTTAAAGTATAAATATTAATAGTAATAATAATTAACTGAAAGAGGACTCGACAACAACAACATAGCGTGTGTCCTGTGTGGAAATTGTAATTTTTACAACAACAAATTTAAATGCGAAAATCAACCAAACGAATAAAACTACTTTAAAGTGTGATAAGCAAAAGGCTGAAATAAAAAAGAAACAAAAAAATAATAATATTTAGTAGGAACGAAAAGCAACAAAAGAAAACCCAACTATAAGAACAATCAATTACATTTAAAACACATACACGAAAAAGCAAAAAAATAAATAAACAGAAAACCTTTGTATACATTCTTACATTTCTTAAACAAATACTAGTGCAAAATGTATCCAGTTGGACAACGTAAGTGGCAAATATTGCAATTGCAATTGCAAAAAAACCGTACAAATCTGCCACATGTTACACACACAGTCAGACCCCCTTCCCTCACTTCGTTGTTCTACTTTTGCAAACACACACATACATTTGTTGTTGCCTGTCTTTGCAAATACAACTCTCCAAAGCATAATAAAATTTGAGAATGAATGAATGCGTAAAATGGCCGAGGGCGAGGCACTTGAGACAGTTGTTGAGTAACTGTGAAATGCAATGGCGCTCAAAGTTCCAATAAGCGACTGCATTAAGCTAACAGCATAAAGAGGAAGAGCACAATAACGATTGTAGACTTCTGTAGACTTTGGCGCATCAATTGAGCAGAGAGCGATAGAGAGGGCTAGAGATACAGGAACAGCCAGGCGTTTGTGTCAAACATGTGCGCAAATTGGGTCAACGACCGCAACGCAATAGTTGAGAGTTATTCCGTTGGGGTTCAAGTGAAGTATTTGTTCATCCTTTCTTCCGTTAGTTCGCTCGCCCGTTCGTTCGTTCGATTACCCCTTCAGAGAGGAGTTTTAATACGGCGCAATTTTGTTTTTGCATTTTGCGTATTAGATTTGAGAGGGACAAGTACGTAGAATAGTGATGGTAGACTTTTATATCTGTCTCGTTGAGAGTACAGTGGGGCAGCAGCTAATGAACAAGTTAAATGTTTGAGAGCTTGAATGAAATATGATCTTACACATATATTCTCCCACACACACATACGAACAAACAAACATGTGGCTGATTTACAATTGATTATTAATTAAAAATGATATGTGGATAATGAAGCTGGGAGAAAGCTGTAACTAAAAATATTAATCGCACTCTATATAATATTCAACATTTTTCTTTATCGCCTTCTATTTGTTTGGTCTTCATTTCTCATTATATTCATGTAATTAATCAAACATGATTGGCCATTTGTTAAAATTTTTATTATTGTCTTTTATGTTTAATTTTAATATTTATATTTTATTTTTGTTTAATTGATTTCGTTTTTGTTTGATTTTTGACAATTTTGATTTTGATTAAATTTTCTTTTTATAGAGTCACAGTGGACCACCTCCTCGCCCACGCGGCCTCAGAGCCCCTCTCAGGCGCAGACTAGCTTCGACACGCTCACATGTAAATTTTTCTCCAACAAAACCAAATTACTAAACTACTAAAAACAAAAATCAAAAATTGAAAACCAAAAACTTGTTTATGTTTATTAAGTTTGCTGTTTGAAGAAAAAACTTACTAAATTCTAATTAACAAAAAGTCTACACCTTACTAACCCCTCCAAGAGAAAGTCTACACACTAATTTTCATAGTAATGTGCAAAATTTTTACTAACATTTTTCCGTTTCATGTAATGTTTGTTTCTAATTTTTACATTTGTTGAATGCAAAACTAAAAGCACAAATGTACTAAAAACGAAAACAAAACCTCGACACAAAATATAAATTGTATACAGCGCGTTTACCGTTATATCGAACGTTGCATAAATTTTATGTTTTTTTGTTTTACTCGTGTAGTGCAACTAACTGCATGCGAGTGTTACTCGTAAAGTTCTTTGAATACCCTTTCAGAAGTTTTAAAAATGTAAAATGTACAAAGGTAAAAATGTTTAAATATTCTGCGTATCTGTTGCCATATTTCTCATAAACTTTGATTAATATTTATATAGAGATATAAATAACATATAAGATTGATTGAATATTTCCAATCTTACCGTCAAGTTATCTCAACTAGAATAAATATATAAATAACGTCAGTAATATTTCACAAATATTTTATTTTCAAAATGTTTATATAACTCTCTTAAACATATCCATGATTTATGTTTCTATATAAACCAAAGCCAAATATCCTGGTATTTTATTAAGAGTTTGTATAAGTGCAAGTATATCAGAGGAATGTTTATATATATTTCTGGTCATAAGGGATTTGCATATCTCTGTTATTACAAAATCGAAAATCCAATCGAAATCCACGTCTTAATCTTACATTAATTAACAGGGAAACATTAGCAGCTATGCTCAAACAACTATTTAAATATATTATATAAATGAACAAGAAAGATAAATGAAGACATGTTTCGTTAACCATAATTATTTAGAAACTCTTCAGTACTGTACTGTAAACTAGTATTAATAGAAAATTTCTGCAAGAGTATTAAAAATTCGGTTTACCGAATAGAAATGTTTTTTAGCTTCTACTTAGTACAATTAATTGCCTAGTTGCTAGAGCGTCGCGTAGTGGTTAATTACTTGCGTTTTTGTTTTTTGTTTTTTTTTTTTTTTTTATCTATATGCTCTTCTTTCTTTCTCTTGAGCAGAGATTTCCCTTTGAATCGACTAACTCTAAACTTCTTGCAGCACCGCCAGCGCCCGGTTCTTCGGTAAATCCCACCGCTGTGACCAGTCCGAGTGCTCAGAATGTTGCTGCAGGGGGTGCCACGGTTGGTGGTGCCGCGGCTGCGGCTGCTGCTCAAGTGGCGTCTGCATTGGGCACCACGGGCGTTTCGGCGGCGATTGCTGCGGCAGCGGTGTCGCCCACAACGCAGCCAGATATGCCCGTCTTCACGTGCCCGCGACGACCAAATCTGGGAAGGGAGGGCAGGCCGATAGTGCTGCGTGCGAATCACTTTCAGGTGACAATGCCACGCGGCTTCGTGCATCACTATGACATCAATATACAGCCGGACAAGTGCCCGCGCAAGGTGAATCGCGAGATCATCGAGACTATGGTGCAGGCCTACAGCAAGATCTTTGGGGTGCTGAAGCCAGTCTTTGATGGACGTAACAATTTGTATACACGGGATCCTCTGCCCATTGGCAATGAACGACTGGAGCTGGAGGTAACGCTGCCCGGCGAGGGCAAGGACCGCATCTTTCGTGTGACGATTAAGTGGCAGGCGCAAGTGTCGCTCTTCAATCTGGAGGAGGCTCTGGAGGGGCGCACGCGCCAAATACCTTATGATGCTATCTTAGCGCTTGATGTGGTCATGCGGCATTTGCCTAGCATGGCGTATACGCCAGTTGGACGCAGTTTCTTTAGTTCACCGGACGGCTACTATCATCCTTTGGGTGGTGGCCGCGAAGTCTGGTTTGGTTTCCATCAGAGCGTGCGGCCATCTCAGTGGAAAATGATGCTCAACATTGATGGTGAGTGGAGAGACAAGATAGTCTAAATTAACATTGCTTAATTAATTCGAATCCTTGTGTTTCAGTTTCGGCTACTGCTTTCTACAAGGCTCAACCTGTCATCGATTTTATGTGCGAGGTTTTGGACATTCGCGACATTAACGAACAGCGCAAACCGCTCACCGATTCGCAGCGCGTTAAGTTCACCAAGGAAATCAAAGGACTCAAGATTGAAATCACGCACTGTGGTCAAATGCGTCGGAAATATCGCGTCTGCAATGTGACCCGTCGACCAGCTCAAATGCAATCGTAAGTTGGGTCTGAAGAAAGTGTAATCCTTCACAAAAGACTGCTTGGCGAAAATGGATTGTAAGCCGTAGATAAGGCAGTGGAGTGTAATCCTTAGCAAAAGAAATCCAATTTCAAGACTACTAAAAGTAGAGAGCAATCCTTAGCAAGAGTAACTAATATAATCCCCAGCAGAACTAAAAACAAAAATGAAATGTAAGCATTAGATTTAAGAAGAGCTACACTAAGGGAAAATGTGATCTATTTTCAACGGGTGCTGAAATTTAAAATCAATTAGAATGCTTGATAGATCTTGTACGTCAGGCGGGATTAGTGCCAAAATATTCTTGAACAAAGATTTCTTTACGGCTAGCAATGTATACCCTTAATCTTTTCTGATTCTTGATAAATCTGTATATTTTTTGACAGAACTGTCTTAAATTAGATATTTTTTTACCTTCGCCTACCTTCTTGACTTTCTGATTGATTTTGAGGCAATCGTTTTAAGACGGAATCTAATTGATTCTCCTTTCGTAGCTTCCCACTGCAACTGGAGAATGGACAAACCGTCGAGTGCACTGTGGCCAAGTACTTTTTGGATAAGTATCGCATGAAGCTGCGCTACCCGCATTTGCCCTGCCTGCAGGTGGGTCAGGAGCACAAGCACACCTATCTACCACTTGAGGTGTGCAACATTGTGGCTGGACAACGTTGCATCAAAAAGCTGACCGACATGCAGACGTCGACCATGATCAAAGCGACTGCACGCTCGGCGCCTGATCGTGAGCGTGAGATTAACACGCTGGTGAAGCGTGCGGACTTCAACAATGATCCCTATGTGCAGGAGTTTGGGCTAACCATCTCCAATTCCATGATGGAGGTGCGTGGCCGGGTTTTGCCACCACCAAAGCTTCAATATGGGGGACGTATGTCGTCGGGGATCACCGGACAACAGCTATTGCCGCCACAGAATAAGGTGAGCCTGGCATCTCCGAATCAAGGCGTTTGGGACATGCGTGGCAAGCAGTTCTTCACGGGTGTCGAGATCAGAATTTGGGCGATTGCCTGCTTCGCACCACAGCGCACAGTCCGCGAGGATGCCTTGCGGAACTTTACGCTGCAACTGCAAAAGATCTCCAATGATGCTGGCATGCCCATCATTGGACAGCCCTGCTTCTGCAAGTATGCCACGGGGCCCGATCAAGTGGAGCCCATGTTCCGTTATTTGAAGATTACTTTCCCTGGACTACAGCTGGTGGTTGTTGTCCTGCCGGGCAAGACTCCAGTCTATGCCGAGGTCAAACGAGTGGGCGACACGGTCCTTGGCATGGCCACGCAGTGTGTCCAGGCCAAGAACGTGAACAAGACCTCGCCACAGACGCTCTCGAATCTGTGTCTCAAGATCAATGTGAAGCTGGGCGGCATTAACTCGATTCTGGTGCCATCCATACGACCCAAGGTCTTCAATGAGCCCGTCATCTTCCTGGGGGCCGATGTCACCCATCCCCCGGCAGGCGACAACAAGAAACCATCGATAGCCGCTGTGGTTGGCTCAATGGATGCTCATCCCTCGCGCTATGCGGCCACGGTGCGTGTGCAACAGCACCGCCAGGAGATCATACAGGAGCTGAGTAGCATGGTGCGGGAATTGTTGATCATGTTCTACAAATCCACCGGCGGCTATAAGCCGCATCGTATCATACTCTATCGCGACGGCGTCTCCGAGGGCCAGTTCCCACACGTGCTGCAACACGAGCTGACCGCTATACGCGAGGCGTGCATCAAATTGGAGCCGGAATACAGGCCAGGCATTACATTCATTGTCGTTCAGAAGCGCCATCACACGCGACTCTTCTGCGCCGAGAAACGCGAGCAGAGCGGCAAATCGGGCAATATACCAGCGGGCACCACCGTCGACGTTGGCATCACCCATCCCACAGAGTTTGATTTCTACTTGTGCAGCCATCAGGGCATCCAGGGCACCAGTCGTCCCTCTCACTACCATGTGCTCTGGGACGACAACCACTTTGATTCCGATGAGCTGCAATGCCTTACCTATCAGCTGTGCCACACCTATGTCCGTTGCACGCGGTCTGTGAGCATCCCTGCGCCAGCCTACTACGCCCATCTGGTTGCCTTCCGAGCCAGGTAATTATTACTTATGCAAATTAAATAATGTTAGATTCATCAAATACCTTTTTCTCATAGATACCATCTGGTTGAAAAGGAGCACGATTCCGGCGAAGGATCACATCAAAGCGGCTCATCCGAAGATCGTACGCCCGGGGCCATGGCACGCGCCATAACGGTTCATGCCGACACGAAGAAGGTCATGTACTTTGCCTAAGCAGTTAAAAGGATGAAGCAAAACCAAATCCACACAACAACAAAAAGAACAACAACACAACAGCAACACCAACATCAACAAGAATGAGCACTGAAATTTCGAAAATAATTCGAATAAGCAAAACATGAAGAAAATATGTACGAAAGCCAAGTCGAAATCATTAGAGGATAATTTCAAAATGATGTTTTTTATATATTTAAGTTAAAGGAAAGCCAATATATTAGCTTTTAGGCCACACACACACCCATACACACACAAATACACAACACCCACACGCCAAAATCGTAGGGATTAGAAAAAACAAAAGGGAATCGAATGTTTATGCACAAGCAGGCGCAACAAATGTGAAAGAGAATTCTCAAAAATAACAAACAAAATTTATAATAAAAAGCGTAGCGAAACAAACTAAAGGGAACAAACGAAAGTCAACAACAACAGCTGAAACAACAACACACATTTGCGATGAACTTTTGTAATAGGATTAATTATATTTTTACACAAGAAGAAAAAAAAAACAAAAACAAAGTTTAAAAAACGTGCAGACAAAGTGCAGACAACCAAAGGTTTTTTAGTATATCAAAACATGAAACAAGTTGCTGATTCAAACACAAACACACAACACACATACAACACGTTACAACAACAACTCGGAATTCTCTGTACTGTGAACGAAGACCACCAACAAAAGCTTAAAAACTAACAAATTAAATAAACAAAAAATGACAAATTAACAACAATACGACGAGCATTAAAGAGAGTGTAATAATTAGCCATAACAAGTAAAGTGAAGGGAAAAGATCAATCCAACTCAAAAAGTCCAGAATTATTAAAGGGCTAGCTTTTTAGTAGAATTAAGTGCGGAACTACCAAAACAAAAAACAAAAAACAAAAACAAACAAAAACAAAAAAGAAAAACTTAAGTGAAAGCAACCAACATATTTAACGAAAACTCCAATTTCAACAAGGGACAAACTTTTGGTCAAAACAATGGCTAATTATATAGTATGTATATATATGAGTACATATATATTTAGGCAACTATATTGTAAGTGTAAAAGCACACAAAATCAAACAATACTTAAACAAGTTTTCGTTTGAAGACCGAAAGTAAACAATGCTAAAAGGCAAAATTTGCTGTCTTTAGTTAACAGCGAGTTTTTAATTTAAGTTAAAAAGCTTATGTTTTGTATAAATACACATATATACACACACACACACACTATATAAACACGGCATATCAAATCCCAATGTCCAACTAATTTATGTACCTCTTATTAGCTCAACTTAAGTTTCATAATTTAAAAGCAAAAACATTGTTAATTCTATTTAATGGAGTCTTAAGCAGATTACGTGGTGTACGGGTAAACAATTAATATGCTAAACATATTCAATGCTCTATATAAATATATATATATATAAACATATATATATATATATATATATATTCCATACTTTCTTAACATAATTTTGCCGCTGCATCCCTTAACTCATAGGGCATATTTAGTTTTAGTTTTAGTTTTTACATATACATTTGCCAATTTTACAAATCTAACAAAATACCATATGCATATATATATATAGATTGAGTTATATATATGTACTCTTATGGAAGACACAGTTCAAGTTAACATTATGCTGATTTGTTCTATTATGGAACCAAAAAGAAAAGCAAAAAACGAAAACAAAATGCAATGCAACCCTTTTATTTATAACAATAATTGTCTTGAACAATTTTGTTGCAGATTTCAAATTTCTATTAGAATATTATTTAAATCAATTTTTATTGTTTTTTTTTTTTTTAACAAAGCCTGTTTAAATGTGTCATTACACACACACACACACACACACACATACAGACACAGAAACACATTTACATGCATTATATATATGTGAGCATTATAAAATACATAATGTATAAACATGTTTAAGTGAAACAATTTCTATTACAAATTAGTTTTTTAATTCAAACGAAAACAAAAAACAAAACAATGTGTGCAAAATAAGTGAGTTTGCAACAAATATGTTTTTTGTAAATGTATTTTTTTTATTATAAACAAAATATTAATTAATTAGCATGTTTTAACACAAGGGATTAAATTTGTACGTTTATTTCTTAACAACAAAAGAGAAAGAAAAACCTTAAAAAAATCAATTATAATTTTAAGCACATCCAAAAGCAACAATGTAAACGAAACAATGCAAACAACAACAAAACGAGAAAAATCTACGGGGTCTCTTTAAGTTTTAGGGTCTCTCAACATTAAAACCCCAACAACAATTTTACAAATTACCAATTACATTTTTATGTACTTTAAGCTAAAAGAAAAAGAAACAGTAAAAAAAAAAAACACAATTTATGTGCCGACAATGAATGTATCCTTGTAATTGTAACTTGTACTTGTAAAACACATAGAAGAGGCACGACATTTATAGAGCAAAGTCTAAAGCTTTAACATATATAGTTATACATATATATATATATAACTATATATATATATATATATATATATATATATATATATATATATCTGTATCTATATCTGCATCTCCAAATCTAACTATATGCGCAGATGCAAGCAAAAAATCCGTTGACATTTGTGATTAACACAAGAAAACGATTTTGGCTGCGTAACTTATTAAAATGCAAAAACTATAACTATATAAATATATAGTCATCTGATTCAAATGAAAAAAAGAAAAATATTTATAGTATATTTTCCACACACACATAAACACATTTCATGGTTTCTTCAAATGTCGTGCAGCTAAAAACAATAAACATTATATCAATATCTCATATACTACCTATATGTATGTTTATTTATATATAGCGTAGAGTGAGATTTCCATGCATAATATAGTGTCTATTAAAAACCCAACCGCAAAGCCGACTATAATGTTTCTCTCACTTTCTATGTGTCGAAATTTAATTGAGCTTTAAAATACAAAAACAAAAACAAAACAATTAATAATAATACTTATAAATGTGCCGTTTATTGCAAAACTCAATGATAAAATTAACAAAACATTAGCAACTAAGTAAACACACACAATATATAGATGTCTACAATAATATACAACTATATATATATATATATATATATATATATATATATATATATATATATATATATATATATATATATATACATATGTATGTATATATAGATATATAATATGTATTCTAAATAGAGATCAATCGAAGCTAGAACAGCAATTGCACAACTCTTCCTAAAGGAAATAAAAATTTATGCCACAATTAACAAACGAAAAAAAGGACTAACTCCAAAGCAATTATATACGTTATATATTACTTACCGATACATAGTATATATATATGGATATATAAATGTATATATACATATATATATATCTGTATGTAACTGTGTACTCTATTCTTCCAATTAGTCCCATGCAGAAAAGAAACCACGCCCCCCCACAATTGTCGTAGTGTTCCAATTAACATGCAAAGACAAAAACAAAAACAAAATCAAATAAAAAATATATATTGAACCCTAGCTGAAATTGGATTAGTAAAAATCTTGAATAAAGTAAAAGTACTCGTAAATCAAAGGTATCAAAACTATCTATCTGAAGCTTACAAATACTTACTTCACTTCATATATATATGTATATATATATATACATACGATCCACTTATGAAAAAGATCAATTTAAAAAAAAAAAAAAAAAAAAAAAAAAAAAAAAACAAACTCTTACTTTAAATGTTTATACCAAAACGCCGGGTAATTAATCAATAATTAATTATTACTTAAGCAGAAATGAGCAAAAATACATTATTCGTAAACTATATAAAAATATATGAAAATAAAATAAAAAAGAATAAAAACTTATTAAGAAACGTAAGCAACGTAAAATATGGGAAATCTGTAACTTTGGTGATCTTTTTAAATGTTATTAGTAAAGAAGAATAGAAGTAAAAAACAAAAACTAACGTAACAAAACAAACACAAATCAAACAAGTTCTAAATGTGACTTAAATTACGACGTAAACATTTTTTCCACAATATTAATATTGGAGTGTATCATCAGAGACAATTAATTTAATTCAATTGAAATTTAAAAATAAAACAAAAACTAAAACGTAAATTAATAAAAATCAGCTGTCTAACAATTAGTGTAAGCGCTTTAATACAAATAGTTCTTATGTCTAACAAATAATTCAATTAAGTTATATTTTATACAAACGACAAAAACAAATAACCAAACATTTCAAATTACTTTGCAAGTTTTTTGCGGTTTTACATAATTAGTTTTATGTATTTTTTATTTCAAGAACTAAATCTACATTTGGCAATACACCTTTGCATGTCTATATACATATATGTATGTAAAATCAAAAACAAAACAACATATTCGATCGCAGACAAGAAACAAAATACATAGATACATATTTTTTGTTCAATAAAAATATATTTAACTAAAAATTTGTTGAAATGGATTTAAATAATGTCAAAACTGCAACTTTTGTTCATTTGTTCATAGACGGTTCAATTATTTATTGCCTCAAATACTAATGGAGTTCCAATTGATAAAATCAATTTTAGGCATTTTTTATAACTCTATAATTGAAAGAGAAATTGATTTGGTAATTGGAATGGAACTATGTCCCAAATGACGTCACAATTGGCCAAATAAGGAGTGAAAAGCCTAATGTGACTTGTTCACTGACTCGTCTCTTGGGAGCATTAAATTTTCGGACTAGTCCAAGTTTCGCCTTTTTTGCAGCCTATTCCAAAAAGTAGCCTTAGTTTTAAATCATTGTATATTATTCAACAATTTTTATTTTATTTTTATAAAAAGTCTGCTTGTGAATATTCAAAATTAAAAACTACACTTTTGGAACTAGGCCCATAATTTATACATCGATAACAAATCCACAACAAAAACTATCGATATGTACTCAATGCTACGATGGCCACTACGACTGCTGACTCTGGGCAGAAGTCGCGAAAACAGCGCCTTGAGCATAGCTATACAACAGCCGAAGGGAACGTACATCAATAAAATGGATGGGAAACGTGCTTTGATCGTCCTGGCACCAGGGGCCGAAGAAATGGAGTTCACCATTGCTGCGGATGTGTTACGCCGCGCGGGCGTGAGTGAAAAAATCGAATGTCTGGCTATTTATAGTAAGACATTTTTTGTTGTTTTGTTTTAGATAATTGTGACGGTAGCTGGACTGGAAGGCAGCGAACCAGTCAAATGTTCGCGTGACGTGATGATTGTGCCGGATAAGTCGTTGGAGGACGCTGTTACGGAACAGGTATACGATGTTATTGTTTTACCCGGCGGTCTGGGTGGCTCCACCGCCATGAGCAACTCGAAGGCAGTTGGCGAGCTGCTGCAAAAACAGGAATCGGCAGGGCGCCTAATCGCAGCTATATGCGCAGCTCCCACAGCGTTGGCCAAGCACGGCATCGCCACTGGCAAATCCCTGACTTCGTATCCAGCTATGAAGCCGCAGCTGGTTGAGAAATACTGGTAGCTACATAAAATATCGATATACAAATTGCTTCAACAACTAATTAATGTTTCTTAGCTATGTGGACGATCAAAATGTCGTCCAGGATGGCAATTTAATAACCAGCCGTGGACCCGGCACAGCGTACGAATTCGCCTTGAAAATATCTGAGCAACTCGCGGGTACGGCCAAAGCACAGGAGGTAGCCAAAGCCATGCTGTTGAGCTACAATTAAATTATTTATATGATATTAAAATCCAAGACAAAAAAGTGATAACTAAATAAAGTTAAAATAAAAACAAGTGAATACGCTGTAATCTTTAAGAATTTAATAGTTACTACCGGTATACTAGTAGTTGCGAATATCGATATTTTGCCATATCGATACTCGATAATTGAGTACTCGATGCCCTTCGAACGACCTCACGGTCAAAACTTCAAATTCAAATTAAATACGTTTTTTATATGACTAAATGAAGTACGTGTATTTAGAATATTTCGTTTATTTTTTTTTTAGACTTTGTACAGTATTTAATTTATTTGTGGCTGAAAAACTTAAAAATTAACTACACCCTGTATTTTTCATACAAATTGGGAGAGCAAATAAAATGTATTTACTTTTACAAAGCTAAACTTGGCGCCTCTCAAATGCAAACGTATGTGACGTAATGAGCTCCTCTGACTACTCACAGATAAGAACTCATAATGCACTGCCTACCTTATACGCTTTCGTGCCATGCGCAGAACGGACCTGTTTCACAGAAACAGTTGCGCTCTCTTTAAACGCTCTCTCTGAGTGCAGTCGCCGCCGGATAGAATCATTTCACTTGCTCAATCGATAGACGATATCAGTTTCAATTGAAAAGTCAACGCGGTAGGACGTATGCGCTCGCTCCACTACTGCCGCCAGGTCCGTTACTCGCATTGCATTTCGGTAGAATTAAATTTCGCTGCACTGAGAAATTTTCATTGCGTGCGCGTGTGTATGTAATTTGGGCACGTGAATTATAATTTATTGTAGCGAATACGCCTTCTACATGTGCATATCTGTGTGTGTGTGTCTGGTTGTCTAATCGTGTAAGTGTAGTCTGTGTCGGTGTATTAACACCGACAATTGTAAATTGCACAAGTGTAACGGTATCTACATGTAGAAGTGCACCAAGCACAGCAACAACAACAACAAGAGCAACATCAACTCTATTGTAAAGTGTGTGTAAACGAATTGCAAACCAAAGCGTAGCACCGAAAAAAATAGTTGTGCAGCTCATTCAAACTGCAAGCGTGTAAAAGAGATTTTCCAGCAACAACAGCAGCAACTCGAACGATTCGCTTGCTTAAATTGCCATAAATTATTTTATAATTTTTTGTGTATGCAGTGCATACATTCATGTGTGTGTGTACGTGTGTGTGAAAATTAACATAAGCATCAGAGCAACTACGAACAAAAGCTAAAATGTTGCTCGAGAAAAGCCAAAACGAAAAGTTAAATAAAAAAAAAATATTGTGAAAACAGCAGCAACAGCAACAACAACAAGAGCAGGGTGCTCAGTCGCTCCTTGCGCTCACTTCGTGTCGCCTTGTCTATCTTTTCAACCTCTTTTCAATCTCTTTTGCTGTAAGTGCGCTGCTCTCCCTCTCTCTCTCTCTGTCACTCTCATGCTGCCACCGTCTCTGCTGCTCCTTATGAGTCAGCTTGCAGAGCAGCGCTGCTCGCGTCGGCGACCGCAGCACGATTTGAGGGCAATGCATGGCAAACAACAAAAAGGAAAAAAAATAAAACAAAAAAAACGTGCAAAAGAAATTGTGCAAAACACAAAGATTCGACGTGTTTCCATCCTCTGCAAAATGACAAATGCAAAGTGAGAAAGAGTAAGAAAAAAAGAAGAAAAACTGCATGGAACAGATCATCACAAAAAAAAAAGTTAAAAAGCTCCAACAATAAACGGTATTTGTTCTCATGAGGAATTTTAGTTCCAGCCGTCAACATTTGTTTTTGCTCTGCTAATGTGTTTGTATATGTTTATATATTTGAGTGTGTGAGTGTTAAATAAACAGCTACATAATTTGTTTATAAACTTTTTAATGGAGCACAAAGGCAACGTACATATTTACATACACATATCTACATATATACATATGTGCATGTGTGTGTGCTTGTAAATTGTGTCAACCCTCAACCCTCGTCAGAGAACGTCGCAGCTGCGGCGCAGCCGGCAAAGGCCGGTTTATGTGGCGGCTGCGCTGCTTCTGCGAAGATGCAGCAACGTTCTCAACGTTATCTTTGTCAGCGCTAACATCGAAAGCTCTCCTCCTTTCAAATTTCGCACTTTGATGCTAATAAGCCGATGCATGTGATATTTTTTATCTACCTACATTCATTAAGTAATGCTTCTTTTTTTTTTTGCGGGCCCCTTGAAAAATCGATAGTAAAAGTTTGGGAGGGGTAATTTTTTGAGTGGTGAGTGACACATTTTACTCACATTTCACATGCTCCGTTTTGATCAGTCAATCGCACGCATTACTCATACACACACACACACACTGGCATTCAACCTGCTGCCTGCCGCCTGTCAATGGCAGCCCTGACACTGACCACAACAACATTTATAAAGCAGACAGCGCAAAGAGCGGACAGAGAGAAAGAGAGTAAAAGATAGGGAGAGGAAGAGGAACCAGTGCAAGACATTTCGCTCTCAACATTACCGGCGCTCTGTTTACAATTTACTTTTTGTTTTTTAATTTTTTTTTTTTGTGTTCGTCTTTCTTTATTTTGCTTGTTCTTTTTATAACAGCAAAGTTCAGTGGCTGCTGAAAATGCACGCAATCAACCCCCAAACACGCACATACACTCACACACACGCAAATACTCACATAAACACGGGGTATTGGATGTTTGGCCTTTTGGCAGCTGTTCCAATACAGTGAATGCTCCTCCATTGAAAACTTACAGTGATTTTAATTGATGGAGAATTAATTTAATTATATATATTTCTGTAAGTCCTGGCACAGTACTGTGGGTACATTTGCCTCGATCAGTATAAGTATAGCTTTTGATTTAAGAAGGAAAATAAATTAATTTGTATTCAGGACTAACTTTTAGCACAGGGTAAATTTGAGTCGAATATTATAATTTATGCAGTGTTTGCTGCTGAGGATTACATTTTAGATCGGCGCGTTTACATTAGCGCGCATTCACTGTACATTATAATTCATATAACGACCTGCAATGTGTTTTCTCTCCCTCTTATCTTTGTTTGTCTCCCGCTCTAACTTAACTAGTTGTAACATCATCAAATTGATTTGCGGCCCTAGCCTAGAAAAGCAAGAACTCAAGGGTTGCCGAGGTAGTTGCTGCTGCCATCGTTCTTGTTGTAGTGGTTGTTGTTCTGATGTTGGCCCGGAAAATGCACTCGAGCGTTGACTGTAGCTGTTTTATTGCTTCGTCTGCCTGTGTCTACATCCACTGCCCCTACTCTTCTCTGTGTTCGTCTATTTCTCTTAGCTGTCTGACAAGCTATGCGTTTTTACCATGCACTTGGCCCATGTTTCTAGTTTTTTTTGCTTTTACTTCTCTTGGCTAAAAAGTTGCCTTCGGTCTGTTTGGCGTCTGGGTGTGTCGGCCCAATCCTCAGTCCCCTATCTACCAGTTCCCCATCCATAGTCTCAGCGGAACTCTGAACTCGTAACTAAAGTTCAAGTGTCGCCGCTTTGCATGCGAATTAAGGGCGTGACGTTCAAGAGTTGCCCGATTAGCCTAATTAAAGCGGAAGCCCAGTAGCTACAATGAAGCTATTCTACAATGTAAAACTTTATTGATGTGTCTTGCATCATCGTCACTTCAATTAAAGCATAGTTGATATTCTTAGTCCGACTAAAAATAATGTAGAACTTTACTGATATCTCTTGCATCTTTCATCATCATCATCATCATCATGATGATTGTCATGTCTTGGGCTATCTGGCATGTGGCATCTCTGATAAGCGAACAACCAGTACAATCAACAAGTCTTTTTCTACGGAATTAATATTAGTTACCCAGCTTCAAACTTCAAAATTTCCAGCTAATTAAAATTCTGCAGAGGAAACGCCCACAAAAACTATAAACGAAAAACAAAACTCTATTCTCCAAGCCGCACCGTGAAAGGAAAGCCCCAATTAGTCCGCCAACTGACGCTCATAAACATGAAAAATAAAGTGTTTCAAACAGGCCCCATTTAACAATTAGCGGCTAGACGGTTGAAAAGATGAAAGACCAACTGATGATTAGATGATGCAGACTTACGAACACTTTAAACAATGACTGATCTTTGAGGACTAAGCGATATATGGTGGAATGATTGGACAACGGACGAGTGGATTTGCTTAAGAGAGAGCGGAGGAGAATAAGGAATATTTTGAACTGAATTGAAAACTGAAAAGACTTATAACACATAACTCTCGTGGATTTATGATAGATCATACGATGATTAAGAATATGTCGAGTTTAATAGCTTACTGATCTTTATAGACCTATAAAGAAAAATTAAGGAACATTTGAGCATAACGGATCAACGATTATTTAGAAAAAAGCTTTAAGTGATGTTCTTAACACAACGATGTATATTCTGCAAAGATTGATAGTGTAATAGTGATAAATATATTTAAATTTAAGAAACGCACCCAGAAATGACTTCAAATAATTTTTTCCACGTTACAAAACGAAGTAAATAAGATTGACAATTGCTGGGGTCAATTGATGGGATCAAGAGAGCTAAATAAAACTCGAACTTTAACAATCAATATTTAAAACAGTTAAAAAAAAAAAAGGGAAATATTGAAGAGTAAACTGTGAAAGCGATAATTATACATACGATAAATGCGAATTATTATTTATTACAATATTATTGATATTACACATAAGATCTGTATAGAGAAGTTCACTCAACCGCCTAAAGCTAAAATATGCTAATTCGAAAATTGGACATTGCTTAATTTTACGCTTAAAATTGATAATAATAAACTAGATAATGGCTCAGTTTAGATATTATGCCGCCAGCTGTTGTTCGTCCAATGCAAACTGGAATGTAAATTATGAAATTTGAAATATTTGAAATAACTATCATTTTTAATTGAGCTCGTTTCCAACTGATATGCAAAATGTTTGCCTAATTGGGTGACCCGAGCGGCTGTCCGATAACTAATTGCATGGCCCCACGGCCCGAGGCTCGTGATAGATGACATAATCACCGATATGCGCCCGTGCTATATATCGCAAACAAAATAATGATCTAATATAGTCGTTTACTCAACCAATGCAATTGAG